CTACTAAAAATTGTTAAGTTACCTCTGGCGTAGACCAATGACCAGCTTAATCTAATTCTCAGAATGTAAGTTCTTATTAGCTTCTATCCCAATGGCTGAAACCTCCTGGCATCTCACCTTCCATTCTGTAATCCACTGATCACAGAGAAATTTCCTAGGGAAACAGCCCTTCTCTTCCACAAAATATCCAGAGGACTGATTTCCGAGGAAGGTTTGATTCCTCCAGGGATTTAGGATTTAAAACATAGGAATGTTTTAGTTATTCTATAATTATATCACAGTGCTTTTTACAACCCACTGCACCAGTGTAGGCTATGTTTCCCAAATGTAGCCATTATGTGATTTAGTTCCTTCTTCATTTACCATAGGAAGATTGAGAGAGAACAAAGTGGTGTGTTTAAAAATATAATGATAAATTATGAAAAGTGTTTATACCTTCATTAATTTACCACAACAAAAGTATTCATAACAAAACTTTATATATGCTTATATAATTATGGTATTAAAGTGACATTTTTAAAAATTAATTTATTTTTTTGGCTGCATTGGGTCTTCGTTGCTGCGTGCGGGCTTTCTCTAGTTGTGGTGAGCGGGGGCTACTCTTTGTTGCAGTGTGCAGGCTTCTCATTGCAGTGGCTTCTCTTTGTTGTGGAGCACGGGCTCTGGAGTGCATGGGCTTCAGTAGTTGTAGCACGCGGGCTTAGTTGCTCCGCAGCCTGTGGGATCTTCCTTGACCAGGGCTCGAACCCGTGTCCCCTGCATTGGCAGGCGGATTCTTAACCACTGCACCACCAGGGAAGTCCCCTAGTGACACTTTAAAGTCAGTAAATTTAAAAATCTTTTTATGTTTTTCTATAATTTATATCTATATAATCATGTTCTAGAAAGACAAGAAACACAAAATCATTTCTATTTCATGGGACAGCTTCTATTTCTAGCAAAATAGAAAGTAAAAGTAAATTACTATCTTTCCTAGAGGGTTTAAGAATTATATCAGGGAATGTACAGAGAACCCTGATACACATTTCTGATTGAAATGTTATGCAAAATAGTCTCACGCACCTGTTATTTCAAAAGTGATGGATAGGAAAGATGCAGCACTAGACTTCGATGTACTCTCTGATATTTACTTTCTGAAATAACAGGGAAATAGCACCATAAGCATAGCCTTTTTTTTTTTTTTTTCAAAATAGTGTTGACTGAAGTGGGCTAGTCTGTGGAAACTGTAGATAAAAGACTACAATTATAAAGAATTTGCATTTCATTTAGGGATGGTGACTATTTTATTCTTATTTCTTTGCAGATGGGAAAATATGAGCTCTTTATTCATCCTTCTGTCTACCCATTCACAGTACAATCATCCTTCCCTCAATCCATCTTTCTACTGATTCTCCAAACCTTTCTGCCGGTTTAGCTCATTCTGTGTCATCATACAGGCTCATTATCCAGGCTGTCTTTCTTAATAACCTCAAATCCCACAGACCTTCTCCAGATTTCGGTGTGGATTATTTGCTACATTTTCTATAAAGGAATGTTCTAAAATCTCCTATAATATAAATTGCAGTAAGTTTTATGGCGCTTTATAACCAATACCTTTGGTGCCCCTCATTTAAAAACATGTTCAATCTGTATCAAATGGAAGAATTTCTTGAATTACTATAGCTAAAATCTACTTTCAATTCACTTTGAACTCTTAAAAAAGTCAATTCGTGTTCATGCATCTAATGATCAGCAACATTTTCATCAGCTTTCTAGGACTTACACTGATAACCCCCCCATGGGCAAGGCCTTGTCCTGTCATATCCTGAGAAGGATAGAGTTCATGCCAGCGTAAGTTGGATATTCTTCAAGCCTACTGGAATTCTGAAGAGCCAGATGACAGAAACTGTCAAAGATTTTACTACTAAGTCTCCTCAGTACAGAACTTGTCAAGCCTTTCTTCTAAAGAAGTGATTATGGAAATTTTGATCACCTGAATATTGTGTTAGAATTGGGAGAATTCCAAGAATAAAATGTGGATACTCTCCAATATCAAGCAGATATATTTTTCCTATTGTCTACAGATGCCATCGCCAACTTAATAAGTATTCTGATAATTCAACTCATTTCAAGTTTTGAATAACATACTTTACACTTTGTGAGAACTTTAATAATAAATATTTCAATTTTCTGCAAATTAAATATATTAGCTCCAAGGAAAAGAATTTTTAGGGCCTCGTGTGGGGTGAGTCAATTAACAGTAGTAAATACGCCAGTGAATAAAGTGATTTAATATGACCCTGCCTTTGTGCTAAGGTGGTCATTATCATTCTTCTGTGTACGAAGATAGCAAAGGAAGTTTATGTGAATTTCATATCACCAGTATGAAATTTACAGTATTTTTTGCATCAAGAAATTTTATTTTTGAGCTAAAGTATTTTATTTTGAATTAAGGTTTTTTTTGTTTTTTTGGTTTTTTTTGCGGTACGCGGGCCTCTCACTGTTGTGGCCTCTCCCGCTGCGGAGCACAGGCTCCGGACGCGCAGGCTCAGTGGCCATGGCTCACGGGCCCAGCCGCTCCGTGGCATGTGGGATCCTCCCAGACCGGGGCACGAACCCACGTCCCCTGCATCGGCAGGCAGACTCTCAACCACTGTGCCACCAGGGAAGCCCTAAGGTATTTTTAATAGTTTGGTTATGTGTGAAAACGACATTTATAGGACACAAAGTGTGAATCTACAAAAACAAAAGTGTAGTCCTTGTTCTTCAAATTAAGTGCAATATGAATTGCTCTTAGAGTAGGTTGCTCATGGTTACACAGTCAGGATTTCTTGAGATCAGTACCTTCTAACTAGGATTGAATGAGGAAGTTATTTTGAGAGGTTTCCCTGTTTTTATAAAGTAAGCTTTCGTTCTTTCTTATTTGTTTAAGAAGACAGACTGTGAACAATCTTCACAGCCCACAGTCTAAGTATTCTCCATTCACACATATTTACAGTCTTTACATGTCACCCTTGGGATGCTGGTATATTAAACAAGTTTCCTATTGGGCAATGTTAAGTACTTCCAGGGGGAACTCAGTCTAAGTTCTGAGAAAAAAAAAGCTGCAACTTTTAGCAAGAATCAGCTATTTTTGCAATAAGAGGTTTATTAATATTCTTGGTATTGGACATGAAAGGACACAAATTCCTAAGTTATTCATGTTACATACTTACATGATTAAATATTAATTTTAGGTGAATTGACTACTTCCATGTCTATTAATCTCTGCTTTAGCATTTGCTTTAGTCCAACAGATACATCTTAATAATAACATTCTTTGTGTTTTCCCTTTTTTCTGTGACTTACTTTTGTTGCTCTGCAGTGCTTTGACAGCAGTAGAAGGGGAATTCTATGACAAAATGATTGTTTTTAAATGTCCTGTTGCAATTCAGAATTCTGAAGGATCTTTTTGAAAGCAATAACCTACAGGATATAACTGACGTTCAGAAACTAAAATCTAATCTACCTCTAGCAGTGAAATTATACTACTCTGAAAGGACTGCTATAATAAATCCACCTAAGAGTGTTAAAAATGTAGCCATTAAAGTGGCCAAGACAATATTAGTGTACTAACATTACATGTTTTATGGTATTTCCTTAAAACCTCAAGATACGTTAGTAGTAAAATGTATCCCTAGGCTAGATTCCTAAATGAGCTAACGTGCTGTATAAAGCTAGTGGATACAAAACAATTAAATTTTTCAAGTTGCAAATGCAAAACTTTAGTCCTTATTTCCCAAGAATTACTGGTCACCAGTGCCACTTCTTTTTTGGGGGAGGCAAAGGAGCCATCTTTTCTTTTGTTTTATGAAATGCCCATTTCATAAAACATGTATGAAGTGTATGTGTCATAATTCAGCTCAAGTTCCACCTCCTTTGTGAAGGTTCCTCCTTCTATGATCTCCCTATGGTTATTCTAAAACTCAATTATAATGCATATCATACTGCATTATAACTATTGGGCTGTTTGTGTGCCCTCAAGATGACCACGAGCATTTTCCTGACATGAAGTTTGTATTGATATTTTCATCCTCACCACCACATAAAATTTTTGGAGCTCTCCTGGCAACTGATCAATATATGTTGAATGTATTAGTGATAGAAGTCCTGCAATCCCTCAGGTAGTGAAATGTAAAAGGGTCTGCTTAAAGCATTGCTTGAAAAGTCTCATATTTGTGTGGACTAATGGGCTACTAATCGAATATAAACTTGATCCAATAATGAGTAAAATTTTAGAGTTGAGACAGGGCAGAAGTTGAGACACAGATGTAGAGAACAAACGTATGGACACCAAGCGGGGAAAGCCGCAGTGGGGTGGTGGTAGTGGTGTGCTGAACTGGGCGATTGGGATTGACATGTATACACTGATGTGTATAAAATTGATGACTAATAAGAACCTGCTGTATAAAATAATAAATAAAATTAAATTAAAAAATTAAAAAAAAAGAAGTCATGCCTTTGGGTTAAAGACTTTTTCCTGTAGTTTTTTTGTTTTGTTTTGTTGTTTCGTTTTTTTCCTGTAGTTTTATTCTGTATTTATTTCTTTTAAATTCAAATTGAAATTTTCACTCAATACCATAATTAACTTATGTTTTTCAACCCCATTATAAACAGCAAAATAAGGTGTTCTTTTTACAAGCACATTTTACTTCTTCTTATATGAAGAAAAGAAAATTTGGACTTTGGAACACATACTTGCATTCTATATGTATCCTTACGAGATACAACTTTATTCTATTTTTATAATTAATTACTCCTACTAAAGAGAGGTTTGTCAGTGAATCAGAACGGACCAAAGATGGAACTGTATTAATTATTTTTACAACCATAATTTAGACTACTGTTCACCATAGTCAATATCAGCCATAATGTGAACAGAAATATGACTCTTCCTGCCCCAAACGACTACATATACACCCCTGCAGGATGATCCCACTCTTGGTCTCCACAGTTGAGTACTTGAGAAGAAAACAGCTTACCTTCTTTGTCCTTGTGGGAGTTTAAGTGTGAGAGGAGGTCCTTGTTGGCCTGCACGCAGTACACCTCTCGGGTCTGGACCCCTCCTCCGCAGAGGGCCGTCTGGTTGCCCCGCCTCTTGTCCTGCTGACTGAGCAGAGGATCCACACGGCACTCAGTCCACTCTGTAGTCCTCCAGCCATACCTAGATAAAGAAAATGATGGCAGTGGCAACCTGTTTACTGAATAAAACTTTTCTCCGCTCCTATTTTTTGTTCCTCAAAAAGATTAATCTGGGGCTTTCCTGGTGGCACTGTGGTTGAGAGTCTGCCTGCCAATGCAGGGGACACGGGTTTGAGCCCTAGTCTAGGAAGATCCCACATGCTGCGGAGCAACTAGGCCCGTGAGTCACAACTACTGAGCCTGCGCGTCTGCAGCTTGTGCTCCGCAACAAGAGGGGCCGCGACAGAGAGAGGCCACGCACCACGATGAAGAGTGGCCCCCGCTTGCCGCAACTAGAGAAAGCCCTCGCACAGAAATGAAGACCCAACACATACAAAAAATAAAATAAATAAAATAAAAATTTATTAAAAAAAGATTAATCTGAAAAATACTTGCCTCTTGAATTAATCTTAGACTACATCTAAGGTGCAGGTTCACTTTCAATCCCTTCCTCTACATCCTCATCCCGCTCCATTTAAAGAGGAGTTAAATTTAAGATGATCCAGTTTTAATTGCAACTACTGGAAGTTACTTATAAATATTTTATGAAAAGAGAGCATAATGCTGAAAACAGGAAATTTTATGTTCAATTAAGCTGAACTCAGGCTTGCCCTTTCTTGATGCTTATAAGCAAAGGAAGGTTGAATCTGAGAATGGAACACATTCTAAATGATGATGAACCCAAACATTTGTTTTGTCTCTAACAGAATGCATGAAAATTGCAGCTTCGTACTGGATCAAAATTATAATTGTGTGTTAGTAATAAAAATGTAACATAATTCAGAGTTTTCTCTTTATTGTTGAGAATAAGAGTTTTTTTTTTTTTTTTTCCTGTAGCACTGAGCATCCCTGATGAGTGCTGATGAATGATGAAAAGAGCTGACGTTTCTAATCAGTGGAACACAGGAAAGATGATCTGTGATTCTAAACTAAAGCTCCAATAAAGATTATGATGTGAAAAAAATGTCAGGGGATTGTCAGCCCAACACATGCTTTAAGGAGATAGGCAGGGAACCATTTCCCGATGCCACTGAAGATAGAAAGTGATGGCATTTCTCCACCTCGAGGAAAATGGATATTCTAAAAGCACAAAGAAAATGGCTCATGTAGCACTTGGTTTCACTTTAACCAAGATGCCTCCTTAGTGATCAGATTAACAGCCAACATAGGTACAAATGGGTGTGCTAATGTTCACCTCAGTTAGACAGAAAGGTTAAGTGGGCTCTAGGATGTCTCATCTAGAGGCTTTGCTTTGTCAGTGGTAAAGTTTCATGACAGTAAAGCTGCACTTCATGTTCGTTTTTCAGTTTTTATAAGTGGGGATTCACGGCTTAATAGAGGTGCAGGACTGGGGCATCCAGGAACAACACTCTTGACATACATTTATAAAAGAAGTGCAGCATTCAGGTCAATTCTAAAAACATGGATACTTGATGCCTTGGGAGGAGAGACAGTGAAGGAAAGTAAAACCAAACAAGTCATTCATTAGGGGAGCTAAAATGAAAATTTTGGCTTTTTTATAGAATGGAGTCCCAATTTAGGTCATCTTACGGAGTCCTGTGAGAGGAACAAATTTTTAGTAACGTCAATTGATCGCACATTCTAAAAAAGTGCTATCATCCATAAAGGGTTAGAAGAAAGATTCAGAATAGAGATTTTAATTAATAGCTAATGGCGTTTGAATATTTGAGAGGATAAAGAATAAAACACCTAGCTTGAGACAAAAATGGAAGAAACTTGTAGGAGACAAAACACTGATTAGAGAACCTGGCAACTTCCTTGAAACTGTTATGTAGAGGGGAACACACAAGTCAGCAGGACAGGCAGAGTAGTTAGGAAGAAAACTCTCTAGAGCATTCTGTCACTTGTTATATCAGAGAAGGGATGATTCCAAAGTGCTGCATAATTGAAGATCTTGTCTGAATCATCACTATTCTTTGTTATTATTATTATTGTTAGAAATGGGAGGAGGAACAATAATAGTAGCAATTTTCCTCCTCACTGTGTCATGCAGTTCAAGCTGTATGCATGTTCTCTAAATATCTGAAATATTCCAGGGAACCTTTCAATGAAGCTTGTGCATATCTACTGAGAAACTAAGATTCTGTAAGTTGTTTCATAAATATTCTATATTCAGACTAAGCTGAAATATATTTATCACCAAGATAGTTCACAGTAATGTTTTGGAGATGATATTTTTTAAGGATAAAAAGAATATAGTTACACTGCCAAATATTTCAAAATTAGTCTTATTTCATCTGAATTCAGTGCACATTGATTGGACACTTACTGTGTGCCTGGTCCTATGACATGCAAGCAATTAAAAAACAAACAAGCCCCACCCCCAAGGTTCATAAGCAGTCTTTGTCCTGAAGGAGCTTACAGTCTCATTATTTTGATATAGCATCTTACTCTATTCAACAGGAATTGTTATATACAGTACTGAATTTTAATGGGACTTGCTCAATAAGCAATAGGAACCTGTATTTTGAAACTTTATTTTACCTTATAGACTAGTTGACAAACTACAGCCAAATCCAACCTGTCCCCTGTTCTTATAAGTGAATTTTATTGGAACATATCCACACTCATTTGTTTACATATTACCTACAGCTCCAATGGCAGAGCTGAAGCATGACAGAGACACATGTGGCTTGTAAAGGCTAACATATTCACTATCTTCTCCTTTATGGAAAAAGCTTGCCAATCCCCATGATAGAAAATACACAAACAGGGAATTGCCGTTAAAAATCTAACTTGCATGGAGACTGGGAAATCCAGCTTGTTAAAGACACTTTTACCCTGTAAAACCAGTCATTTTTACAGGATAGTGTTTGTAGAGAGATATTTTTCTACTTAGAATTTGTAAAAATCTCTATTTCTCAACATACTATCCAGTTGAAATCAAACCGCTAAAGGAACACGCAGTTTGGGCAGACAGGGCAGCAGATGCCACCATCCTTTATTTACTCACATGGCACAGGGGGCAACTCCATCTCCTTGAGACACACAGGGTTCTTTTTCCTCAAGTTCTGGACACTCCTTCTCACTGCCAATAGGAAACTGCCTGATGAGCCGCGTCCTCACACGGGTGCCTTTAGGGGATGCCATATCATGGCACGTTTTTGAGCAGGGGCTCCACTCAGACCACTCTGACACCTGGCACTCTTTGGTGATCACACAGGCCTGGAAGGTCAGCGGCAGCTTCTCTTGTTGGCAAAAACTGCAAAAGAGCATTAATATTCTCATCACAGACTCACAGGCAGGCATGAACTTTGTCTTCTACACGCCAGAGTGAAATCAGCTTGGACATTTTTATTTCTACTTGGAGGTACAATTCCAATTTCATTAAAAAGATATCAACATTTACGATGTGTAAAAGCTGTTAGACTCAAAGCTAACATTTGCATTTCCTCCTATTTTGTAAGAGTTGTTAAACCACTCATAGGAAATAGAAAATAAAGGGGTTATGCAAAATTAGCTGAAACTAAGTTTACCATATTGTTCATTTTACTCATTCCAGATTTGTCTTTATTTAGAAAATGAGGAACCAAGAACTGTTAACATATGATAATTTTCATTTAGTGATTTAAATAAACATGCCTGGATAACTAATACAATATTGAACAGAAAAAGTGATTTAATTTATGCTTAACATTATTTTTAATACTGTTTGAAACTTTAGCTGTCAATTACAATGTATGCTTATTCAACTACATCAACTTTTCCAGTTCATACTTTAATGTAAGGTATACATATGAGTATATTAATTAAATACATCATAAGCATTAGAAATATAAATCTATTTAAGCTACATTACTATAGAAATATCCTCTAAATAGATCTCTAATTCATCGGTAAAGTATTTATGTTCAAGTTCGTATCTATCTAATCCTCCTTGAATTAGAGGGATGTTGAATTCTAAATTGTAATGTCTACATACGAAGATGATGTTCCAAATGTCATCAACTACGGGCATATGCACTTTGAGGGGTTTTCCTGGCATTGGATGGCCTTGCGTTGATTCTTAGTTGAACTCCTGCCCATTCTCAGTAACTAGTAGCTCACGTTTACAAGACACAGGAGGCATGCTGCCACGATAGGGCATCTGTTCCAGTGGGAGAGTTCACTGATAATTCTGTCTCATCATTCAGCTGCTATATTTAACTATGATAACCAACCATACAGAGAGGCAGGTCCATTTTAATATAACAACTCACACACAATCTTTTTAATTCTACTGGCATGTGTACGAAAATTGCATTCCTAGGAGACAATTAGAGCTCAATATGTCAAAGTCAGTTTGTCTGAGCTGAGAGGTCTGGGCAGGAGAATCATCTGAGAGTGGCAGTAAAAGGGCCCTGTAAGTCAGCTCTGTTCTTCTTATAACAACAGAGAGGACCAGAATCCCAGTTTTACTCAAATGTCATATATTGAGTGTTAATGATGCATTAGGTACAACACTAACCTTAGAACAAAACTTTCTCTGTGATGAACAAGTTTTCACTCTAACACTTGTGAGTTTATCCAGGAAAATCAGGCAAGATGATGACCAAATGATGACCTCTATAACTCCTTTTTTCCAAAACTCTCCATGTTAATTTCCTCTTAGATACATTTCTAATCCTTCATGAGATTGTATTCATATACATATATGCATATGTTATCCTCTATGTATTACTTACCAAGTCCATATTCTATGTAGAGGCAGAGAATTAACAATCCCTTTTAATCTTTTGTGGAGAATTTGACCATCAGTTAAATACCTCCAGTTACAGTTACCTGGTAACCTGATGAAAGCTGAAATATCAGCTATGTTACCAGATAATATTATTTATGATACAATGATCAATTTTGATAAATTCCATTTGCTCTGGAGAAACTAAAACTACCTGGTAGGCAGCCACAACTCTGGGCTTGCCTGAATGTGTCAGCTCTTGGAATAGGGCTTGTTTTTTGTGTGGACTTTGCAGTCTATGACTACGGGATCACTTCAAGAGATATCGGTGCCTGTGGGGCCTGAGACTTTTAAGCCAAGGCAACTCTTGGACTTGCCGGATGTAGAATTATCTTCTTCCATCTGAATTGTGCTGCATTGATTTCTAGAAGAATTACCACCAGATTAGGAATGTCTGTTGCTACAATGATGACAAGTTCTTTATCTTTCTAAGTAGACTGATGCCAGACAGCAGTCTGTGTGTCTTGTGTATCTGAAAGTCTGCACAGCCTAAGTTTAAAACTTAATTCATATTACCTCATTTAATGCTTCCAATAATTCTTTTATGTGGGTACCATTATCATTTCCATTTTACAGGGAAGGAGTCTCTGAAAGGTTAGGGAATGTGTTTAAGATCATATAGGAACGTGTTAAGTAGGGAACTGAAATTTGAACTTGGATTTTCTAAAATCAGAGCCCATTTTCTTAATCACTTTGCCCTACTGCTTCTCACAGTTTAAACTGACTGTAAATCTCAGTTTGTTAGAGCAACTACTGTAGCTGAGGCCAGTGCCAAGGTTACTGGCACATTGTGAATCCAATAGTTTCACTATTTCACAGCCCCAGGATTCGTACCACCCTAGCACTTTACAAATGTGCTACTTGCTCTAAGGAGGACTTAGTAATTACGGAAAAGTCAAAACAAATACATTTTCCTGATACATGTTAACAGTTTTTAATACAGGTCCTACATATGAGAAATCAGCAGCATAAACATGAGAACAGTATTAAGTTATATGATTATACAGTTTTTAATATATGTGATGTATATAACATACCTACCTACTTATCTATCTATAGTTTGTTTTTCCTTTAATTTTCCAATACCATTATTTCAGCAAATGTGAATCAAGTAACTCTACATATTGGGCTTTAGAAGTACAAAGACAAGATTATAGTAATTAAATTGGAAGCATATAATTCTGCTTGGGGAGGCACAGAAGGCTATATGAAGTAGTACATTACTATGAAGTTTTCAAATTGAGTGAAGGTAATCAATGGAAATATGAAATAAAAGTCTTTTCTTTGTTTATTGGTGGGTGGGGGAAATATAGATTTTTCATTGGCCTCAGTGTAAGGAGTTTTTGTTGAGCAGTGGAAGTAAGAGTGGAACTGAAGCCTAGGTCAGATCAAGGGCAGTTATGTCGATCCAGAAAAGCACCTCCTGTGAGTGAGAGAACCCTTCAAAGTTGTGGAGCATAAAGGACATGATATTTGTATTTTATGTAAATTCCAATAGTAGGGTGCAGGACAGAATAACAGGGTATAAGATCAGAAGCAGGCTAACTATGATGATGATGATGATGATTATGACATTAATATTTATAGTAAATATATACTGAATGCTTACTATATATAGTAAATATATATTGAGTGCCAGACACTGCTCAAACTGAGTGAGGTATGATTATGAACATGAGGTTAATCATCATTGAATGTCTAGTGTAAGCCATGTACTGTATTAAGTTTTACTTAGAGTATCTCATGTAATCCTTAAAACTATTCTGTAAGATGGAGATCCATCTTTTTTTTTTTTTTAAGATAAGGAAATGGAATCTAAATGTCTCACTTAAGTCTAGATAAAGTAGCAGAGCTAGGATTCTAACTAGATCTTTCTGCTTATGAGGCTTATCAAAGTGTGAACAAAGGCAATGGCAGTAGAAATTAAAAGGGGTTACAAACTGTAAAAAGGGGAGTTAGAAGCTATACAACCTGATGGATAGCTGAAGGGGTTAAAAGAGAGGAAGGAGTCATTAAATAACTTGGAAGTTTCTAGCTTTGGCAATCTGCTGAGCATCACTGCAATTCTTCGAAATGGAGAACATGGAATAAAAAGCAAGTTCCTGGCAGTTGATAATTGAGTTCAACATTATTATCTTGATTTGATATGGACACATCCAGTACATATCCAACACGCAGAAATGTCTGGTAGACAGATCCAGAATTAGGGATCAGGGTTTAGCTGAAAGTTCTGGATGGCGTGTATACTTTTAAAAGTCATGAGCATAACAGAGTTCAAAGCCAAGGCCACAGGCGTAGCTGAGTGCTCACACACTGGGGCTCATTTTAGGCCTGAATAACTCACACATGGCCTTAGAGTGGACTTTGGTAGGTCCATGAACACTGTGATGCATGTTAATTTCATTTTGTAATTGTTAGTCGGAATAAATGGGATCACCAAATCACCCATGCTTACTAAATTATTCAGCTGCCACCCTCAACCATTTTCTCCTTTATTCTGGCAATGTAAAATGGTGACACTAGAGAGCTTAGGGGAACTATCCATTTTGGTTCATTATGGTTTTCCTGAGAACATGCCCCTTTGGAGGTCAAAGGCATAGGCTACGCTTCTGCAAGGGCAGCCTGGTAGAAGATGTGATGGTCACTGTGACAGTTTCCTTTTCATTTATGTGGTATATTCAGGATAGCCCAGATGGCTAGGACTGATAGAACAAAAGTTTGGCTTTGAGACAAAAGCAGATATTACTTAATCAGCTTGTATCAGACACAGAGGAATCAGACTTAAAAAAAAAATGAAAAAGTGGAGAGCAGGAGCTTCAAGAGGGCGGAAGAGTAAGACATAGAGATCACCTTCCTCTCCACAAATACATCAGAAATACATCTACGTGTGGAACAACTCCTACAGAACACCTACTGAACATTGGCAGAAGACCTCAGACCTCCCAAAAGGCAAGAAACTCCCCACGTATCTGGGTAGGGCAAAAGAAAAAACAGAGACAAAAGAATAGGGACGGGACCGGCACCAGTGGGAGGGAGCTGTGAAGGAGGAAAGGTTTCCACACACTAGGAAGCCCCTTTGCGGGAGGAGACTGCAGGTGGCGGAGTGGGGGGAGCTTCAGAGCCACGGAGGAGAGCGCAGCCACCGGGGTGCGGAGGGCAAAGCGAAGAGATTCCCGCACAGAGGATCGGCACACACCAGCCCGAGAGGCTTGTCTGCTCACCTGCCGGGGCGGGCAGGGCTGGGAGTCGAGGCTCGGACTTTGGAGGTCGGATCCCAGGGAGAGGACTGGGGTTGGCTGCGTGAACACAGCCTGAAGGGGTTAGCGGACCCCAGAAACAGGCATGAGACGCTAAGGCTGCTGCTGCAGCCACCAAGAAGCCTGTGTGCGAGCACAGGTCATCATCCACACCTCCCCTCCTGGGAGCCTGTGCAGCCCGCCACTGCCAGGGTCCCGTGATCCAGGGACAACTTCCCCGG